GAATTACCCAAAGTACTATTAGTGCAGATACCGGAAAATAGCAGTGTCAGTACCGTATTGGAGGGCCAGATTGCCCTGAGGGCGATTTTTTATACTATGCAGGACGAAATTAGACACGACAAACCATACTCGGAAAATTGGAGGCACATGTCCATTAGCCAACCATAAAATTAGAATTTACACAGGGCCATTCATATGTTTACATTAAAAATACTAGTGAGCTGAAATTACCAATCTTATTTGATTGCTAAACCTGGTCATCGACAAATAACAAAGACTCTGATGATATTTTACGATGGTGCGAATGTATTAATCAGGAAATAAGTCCTATTTAGACTATTGCAATAATTGCAAAAATACTAAAACTCGATCAAGACTAATAGAATTCAATTCTGTCCAATATGCTAGGCAATAACGGGATTTCAAATTAATAGGTAAAATAATGAAAAGATGGATGGCAAATGGTAAAGATTAAGTGCATAGTCTAGCTACACCAAACTGTTAAATAAAAGTATTCAGGAAAAGAATATATGTGTATATGTGTGAAGAAATGCACCAGTTTTCTTGCAGAAATGACTTGGAAATGTTTTAATTCTAACTTTTAGTTATGAACCAACAAGGAAACACAGAGGGCAATCTTGTTCACTTGATAAGATGCCTAGAACGAGCTTAAGTCTCGGAACTTTAATCTTCAAATATCTAAAAGTTTTAGGCCTTACTTTTAACAGTATCTGCCCTAAAGTAAATAGAATATATGGAGCAAAAGAAGGAAAACGGGAAAATAGGCAACGTAGGAGAAAAAAGTTTCTTTTATCATTTGGAATATAACTAGCGTCTAAATAATTAATGAGATGAATAAAAATGTGATGAAATGATTATGCATCAGATGAAAACAAGAATCAGCTACAGTGGCGTTGGCTAAGCAAACATCAAATTATTAGTTGCTAAGAGTTCTATTAAGATTATACTAGTTGCCACGGTCAGGAGGACAAAGTTATAAATTAAGCCTCATAAAATACAAGTGCTAGCTTATGAAAATAAGTGAAAATGTCATTGAAACTACTTGCGAGAGTGGGATAGTCTAAGGCCTTTGTTAAGATGGTTTTAGTAGGCATCCCATTGAACTCACTTGCTAATCTTTCTCATAAATTTAAGAATATAACTAAATAATCGGTCGGAAAAAGCAGTGGCCAAAAAGTAGAGAAGTAAATGCGGTCATGATAAATATTACTTCAAAGTATATGCGGCACTTCTTACTTCTTTCCCGTGACACTTTTTCGTTGAAGTATTAATGTATATTTTATGCTATAAGCAGGTGATTATAGAACAAGTTGAAATAAATAATTATAAACATCATCTTTACATATATATTTTTTTAAATTTTCTGGTTAATTGTGTAAATGCTTTGTAAATAAGCGCAAATGGGTGAGTGGTGGAATGTATGCAATCCTAAAGGTAGATGAGGAAAAGCGAAACTGCGTTTGGATAGATCTCAGTTTACCTGAATTAACCTCCGCCAAGTGCGAGTACTCTAAATTCTCGTTGGTGTTTGACGCTCGAGAACTTTTCCGAAGACCAAGATCTGAAAGCAGGCCGACCACCGGTGTAGAGAGTCCATCAACTACCTGGCCGATAAGCATGATTAATCCAGCAAGGCTGCTGGATAGCCCAATGCCAGCATGAAAGAATACCAATGTGTAGGTGAACCAGACGGAAGCAGTCAGGTCGTTGAGCACGTGTCCAACAGCGTAGCCAAGCCGGACGGTCATTCGGCGACACCGAGATGATACTGAGGCACTGAATACGGGCGAAGGTTCCGAACGCATGCCTAGATAAAAAACTTAGATGAAGTAAATAAATAAAAAGGGGTAAACGTTCTTATAAAGCAGGTTCTTATTGGAAACAGATAAGAGGACAGTCAGATAAAAAATAAATTAAAAGTGCTATTAAGTTATTATTCCGACCTAGGGTAATTAAAACTCTTAATCAGGCTGTACTTATAGTCTCTAAATACTATTTAATACGAATAAAGTAGCGTTTTTGATTCAGATGGTAAGCTCATGTTTGGTTTATGAACAACTTTACGATGAAAGTGAGATATGGAAGAGGCTCAATTAGCATTGATATTCATTTTAGCCCTGTGACCGATCTGCACTTGTGGCTACGTGACATTATAGTAGTGCGTCGAAATTATACACTTCACTATCCGGGTTCGATTCTTGCTGGGTTGCTGATGACGATTATGGGGTCAAAACTGTAGTTCACACTAAACGAGAATATCTTTTTTGAAGTAAAGCCAAGTAAAATTCAGCAACATGATAATCTATTCATTTCATTGCAGAAAAATCCACTATCAGTTCCTCATCACCTTAAGTGGCCTAGGTTGACTAAGGATCTTACCTAAGCGTTTCAAGCCTAAGCAAAACAATTATTGAAACGATTAGGCTAATTTTATTCTTTAATTCAACAATGAAAGGGGTTACTATAAAAATAGATAAGACATTGCACAGTTAAGAAGATTTTTACTAACATTGCAGAACCCAAAGTGAATTATATTGAATAAGGACCCTGCTGATTCCCAAAATATTCTACTTAAAGTCATAAGAAATAGGTTGCAAGTAGAAAATTAGACAGGCTGATAATAGACACACCTTTACACACAGATTATAGCATGGTCCCACAAAACTACAAAAACGACTAAGATCGCATTCAGTCAACAGG